AGCTTTATGTTGTGTTAATGTTACGTGAATTATGTCAGAATTCAAAGTGAAATGTTTTATTCGATGAAATAAAATCCATAATCTGAATGCATGGATACACTGGACACGTATTTCGTACGCTATGGGACCTGTGTGAAGCTGGAACGTATAAGTTGAATGAGTCACAAACAGATGCAATTTACATACGGTTGAGATACCAACAAGCACCGAATGTGTGGTTGAGTTACCGATGCAGACAGTACTCAACCTACGTATGTGGTAGCGAAACGGATCAGCTCGTCTGCCTGTCTTACATCTTTTTTTCGCGACTCAAAGGCTTAATGCCGTACCTTTTTGACAGATCTGAGCAAAGTCTGCATCAGTAACGTTTCCATACAAAACGGGACACGCGCACGCACATTGCCAAAAACAACCAGGCTGGAAGATTGAAGCTCATGAAAGAACCAGTACTGAACTTATTGAAACGCACACGCATTGCACTCTTGGGGAGTTGCACTTGTGTGACTAGGTGCGTCGAGCATTACAGGTGGAGCAAAATAAATATATGTACTATATACAACATGTAACAATGACTAGGGCGTGACTAGAATTACTAGAATCAACAATGAACAAACTGAACAACGTGTGTATGAACTACTGGCAATGAACATCAACAAAATGGGCACTACCTCAAGTTACAAGAAACTCTTATTTCAATCCTAAATTCGCTTTTCTACTCCTACAAACACTGTGGAACAGTTAGTGTGTTGCCGTATCTGGGCTGCTCCGCCGACACTATCAGGCCATTTGTCTCCTCACAATCGCTGATTTTATGATTGCTACCCTGAACGAGTATTTGTACGGAAAATAAAATGGATAACCAAGGCCTCATGCAGGTGAATAATATTCACTAGAGACGGTTTGGATTCGAATACAGGGGATTTCTGAGGGATTAATGTTACCGGTCGAAGGTGAGTTTTTCATGGCAAAAAGCCTCTCGATCCATGAACGCCTCTGAACATTCAGAACATTCAGCCAAAACTGTTGAGAAGAAGTTGATTTCTATACTACTAACAAACTATACACTCTCAACAACAGTAGTCTAACAGAATATCAATAATTAAGTAAAAAGCAAGTGATTTTGAACCATGTATTCATTTCTCTCGATAATACTTTTAGACTGAATGGAAATGCTGTTCGCCATACTATCAAGCTGAATAGGTCTTGTTATATTTTATTCTGTGAAAACACTTGAAACTTCAGCGTATCGTCAAACTCATCAGGATATATGAGAGGGAAAAGGCTATTTTGGTATGTCTTTCATCTGCACGAACATCAGTCCATAAAAGGATAATTTTCTTACTTTAACTCATAATCTTTTGTTCCTTAGATAATTCGCTCACTATTCTTCTTCATCTATCCAGGTTTTCAAATAGTAAACAAGAAGGCTGTTTGAACACAAAGGTTCACGACTTTGAATTTCATAGAAAAGAAAGATTAGAAGCTTGAACGATTCAAAAAAAACCTGGCCTGAGCTTTCGGTGCATTTCACTGTGGAATAAGCCTTTTGATGGGTTTCTAATTAAAAGTTGTCCGCTTTTCTTTCTAGGACAAAAATCGCTTTCAGTTTCTCAAAACCCTTCTCAAAGTTTATACCGTAATCTTACAGTAATGAAGAGCGATTTTGATTTGGTCCATACTACAAAACTAAAAAGACTCGGCCAACAAAATGGTACCCAAAGTTCGACGAAAGGCCTCAAAACAAAAGAGCTATGAACGCAAACAATGTGCACATTTCTTTGTGGACATTGTTTGCGTTGCCCTGTAGACATATATGTGGACCAAAACCTCCACGAAATTCCAGACTGTTGAAAAAAATTATTCTAGAGAGGTGTAAGTTTTTCTTTGAGTGCGACAAAATCTAATGTTCTATGACATTTGGTCAATTTCTTGTTTCTAGAATCAGAAGAAAATGATTGCCATCATGCACTGCTAAGCTTGCTGAGAACGAGCTGTCACAGCTCCGTGCATCGGAAAAATGAAAATCTTGAGTTTACCTTGAAGTTTGTACTATTGCTTGCGGTGAGCTTTCTCTCAGGAGCCACTGCTCCTCGTACGTAGATATTCGCCAAAGCATCCCGTAACTACAAGCAGTAAGTTTAATTTGAAAATAGATGTAAGTGTTTCAGGGTAGTACCTCCTTTAGGCCGACTACACCAACAAGTTTTCCGCAATCAGTTACGTAAGCGTGTGAAAGCCCGAGAAGACTGAACAGCGTGTGAACCTGAAGAAGATGAAGATAGATACTATAATAGAAAATCTGAAGAAAATATAAAGAGCTCACTTTGTATAATGAAGATCCTAGCACAAGTTGGAATGGAGCCGCATCGATGGCGATTTCGTCGAGGTCGATTTTGCGATCAA